TCGCACTCACTAGGTCGCTCACTGGGTTGGCCCTTTGCAACCCTGCGCCTGGGATCTGCGCGCCTGAGTCTGTCTGACCGAGTTTTCCTGTGCAACCCTGCTCCACCAGCTGCTGCCTTCGCCCCTCTTACCGGTCAGGCTGAAGCATTCGTTGTTATCGGACTTCCGAAAAGTTAAATTTTCTGTGTTCTGTGTTTTCTGTTGCTAATGTTTTGTTGTCTCTAAACTTGGTTGTGTGAGAAAGCACGGCGTCTCCACCTATGCCTCCATCTTCAGCCAACCATTTCTTTATCTTGAAGCACTCTTTCACCAGTTTTTGTGGTAAAACACTGATTACTAATACCTTGTTGACTGTTCCTTCTTGGTTGTTTTCTTCAGGACTCTTCTATCAGAACTTTAAAATTTGGAATTCTTCAGAGGCTACCACTAGTCCCTTTTTTCTTCTTTAACTACTTGGCCTCTTAGTTGATATCTTGTCTCAGGGTCTTAAATGTCTTCTGTTGCTGCTAATTCAAATCTATTTATTCCTCATTTATATTAACCTGCCAATATGCTGCTTTAATAGACACTCTGGACTTAAGTTGTGATAAACAGAACCACCCCCATCCCAAACTTATCTCTTTCCAGGTAAGTCAGATGTAATCTCAGTAAAAATTGATTGTTTCTGCTCCAGATGAAATTCATCAGCAAGTCCAAGTCCTTGTACCCATAAAATATTCTTGAATCCATCTACCTGTTTCATATTAACTATCTCCACTTAATTTCAGCTAACATCATCTCTCATCTGAGAAACTGAAATTAGCCTCAAGTGTTGTCTTCCTGCTTCTATTCTTCTTTCCAAACCATTCTTTACACAGTGTATCTGTTCAGTGGCTTTGCATTTCTGAGGAAGAATCTAAATAAATTTAATGTCTTTTAAGTACTTAAGTGATTTGCATGCTGTCCCAGTTTCATGTCAGATCACTGTCTAGTCGTCTCTAGACACTGTTCTCCTTTCTGACCCTTCAGCACACAAAGTCCTTTCATAGCACAGAGACCTGGCACGTGCTTCCCTTCTGTGTAGAGTACTTTTCTCTTACCGAAGGTCATGGTTGACTCTTGCTCATCATGTTTTTCTTGGCACAAAAAATGTCTCCTGACAGGTTCCTCTGTGGAAGAACACAAAGTTGACCTCTCCCGCCACACTCTACCATATCTTGTTTACTTCCTTTATAATCCTGATCCATATTCGAAACTGTTATTTAGATATCTGTTTATCATTTGTCTTGCTGTTAGTATTTTCATCAAACCAGGCAAATACTTTGTCCCCACAATGCCTGAAGCATATTAGGCCTTAGTTAAGTACTGGCTAAATTTGGAATTATAGGAATTTATAGCTGATTTCAGGAAATCTAGAATTTCCCAAAATGAAATTCTAGAATTTCATTCCCAAAATGAAATCTAGAATTTCCTAACAATGAAAACTTCAGTGTTAGCTCAAGGGAAACATCAAGTAATATAACAAAGCAGCACCTAATTAAATTCTATATGTGATATGGGGGGGGCTTCATCCACATAGCCCTCCCCCCCCCGGGTGCCATGATTGAGAATAAGTGTACCAAGACATGATCTGCTTGGGGAGGAAAGGTGGCCAATCTCTCAGAGGAGAAGAGCCTTAAGCCTGTTCCTCAGTGGGGTTTTATTGGGTTCAGTTTGCACAGGAATACAGGTAAAGCTCATCAATCATTGTCAGGCAGTAAGGATCAAACAATAGATAGCATTCAAAGAACTATGAGGGCTTATTCTGAGTCTGGGTCAATTAGCTAAAGGGCCATAAAACTTTGGGAAACAAACTCATTTCATGCTTGGACCCTTATCATTTAAATTGGGGACATCCTGAGGAAAGCAGGTTTCACAGGATTTTATGCATTCTTTCTTAGGCCTGATTACTCTGGGGAACCACCTTTTCCAGCACAGGGCTACACTTACCTCCTGCATTGTTTCAGGTTTAAGTCAGGTTGGGTATGTGGGCAGCCAAGAGATTAGGAGACTTTTTGCAGACAGAATGGGGACTCAGGCTATGTCAAAGCCGAGGGGTGAGGCTCTATCACCCCCTTTTTCTATAGCCCCCCAAGCCCTTCCCTGATGGCCCCATCATGACCGTGCCTGTCTTAGGTTGTCCATCCCTTAAGGAATCTTACCCATAATTGGCTAATCAGTCATTCACCCGGGTTCAAGCAGGGTGAAGTAAAGGGGGAAGAGATGGCACCCTAGCTGGGAAGATAAGCTTTGTCTCCTTAGTGGCTCATGGTCCTAAGGTCTTTTACTCAACCTTAGCCATGGGAAGTTATAGCTTCTGAAACCAGGCAGGGCAGTTCCCAACATCATGATAAATATTAAGAAGCTCTGTAAGCGTTAAAAGAGGTAGAAAATACTCATAAGAGGAATATAAATACAGGTATCGTGTAGAGGGAGATAAAGCCAAGTTTTACAGGAAGGAAATGCAAAGGTATAAAAATAGGAATTTAGCAAACAGTTTGTCCTGATACATAATTTAGAGATGAAAGGGCAGCAAATAGGTTTAACTATTTTGTAGAGCTTTAAATGCTAAGTTGAGAAATCAGTTATAGTGAAGTGAGCTAAGAATCAGTGATATATTGGGGCAAAAAAGCGCAGTCAATATGATATTTAAAAAGTATAATTTAAAGAAGGGGGTCAGTTATGAGTGAGAAAGGAATAAGTGATATAGGAGGAGTGACAAGGAGATTATTATACTGTCCATACAAGAGTGGATGAGAAACACGGTAGCAGTGACCATGAAAAGGGAAGTGGAGGAATGTGTGTAGACAGCATTTCAAAAAGTAACGGAAGGATTGTTGATTGGCTGTGAATTGAATAAAGATTAGAATGAGTGAAACATTACTGGAAGCTTATTGTTGCCATTGGGGGAAAAAAAAGACAAAACTGAATTGGGGTCAAAACACACATAGACATGTGCATACTCTCAAAAAAAGTACCATTATTCACAGATGATACAGTGTGTACCTAAACATCTAAAATAATCTATAAATGCATAATTAGAATTAAAGAGTGAATTTAGGAAGTGTACTAGAGGTGAAGTCAGTATATATTTAAAAATGTATTCCAGCAAGCAGCAATAGAAAATAAAATTGAAAACAGATTAATAACAGCCTCTATAAACATCAAATATCTAGGGAAAATTGAATTAAAGCTGTGCAAGATTTAGACACAGAAAGCTACAAAACCTTACTAAAGAAGAACTGAATAAATGAAGTACAGTGATCCTTCACCTATCACGGGAGTTATGTTCCTGAGACCCCTGTGATAGGTGAAAATCCATGAAGTAGCAGTGTTCTATTTTTATTATTTATACATATTTTAAGGCTTTACAAACCCTTCCTACACTCCTATAAACACTCTCTCATTAACCTTTCCCATACTCTTATAAACACTTCATATGCTCTTAAACACTTTCTACACTCTTAAACCTGTGTAATTTTAACAACACGTAAAATTCCATGTGGGTTTAAATCCCGTAATACAGTGAAGCCGCAATAAGTGAGCCGCAGTAGAGTGAGGGACAACTGTAATATTCCACTGTTGTAGCTGGTTATATTGTAAAAAGGCCAATTCTCTCCAAAGTAAATATTAGATTTAACACAGCCTCAGTCACAAGCATGGCCTGGGATTTGACAAGCTGTCTGGAAAGGCAGGGAGCCAGGAGAAGCAAGAGAGACTCACAGCACAATGAAAACAGTGTGGGTATTGACATGAAACAGACCAGTAGAAGGAAATAAAAAGTCAAAATGTAGACTACACACACATGCTAATAACAGCTTTTGCTGGATTTGACGTGTTGCCTCTGTGTTTAGATTTATACTATTTGTCTATGCATTATTGGACTACACTTACACAATTTCTGTACCTCCTGACACTGATGTGTTACATCATATATAATCAATAAAAATTTTATGTTACATTAAAGAAAGTTGTTCCTTTGTATTATACAACAAATACTTATCAAGTGTCTCTTCTCACTGTTCTGGATGATTGTGACCGACGGCTTGATTGCACCAGCAGTCTCCCTTGTTTACCCCTTCTGTACCCATGGCCTTCGAAGGTGCCCTGGCGCCCTGAGTCTAAGCCTGGTCACTGATTGGGCTAATCAGACTCCTGCAGAGTTCGCCTTAGTAGAGGCTTTTTAAAATGCTTGCACATTTCAGGCATCTTTATATCACTCTGTCATTACCCTGAGAACACACACACGCACCGACCTGCTGTAGGAGTTTGACAGATGTGGAGAGAGAAGCCAGGTCATTCCGGCTCAGGCCATCCCACACCAGCTGGCCCTAATACCAGCAGCCAGCTGGCCAAGGACACATGAACATGCCTGGCATAGATCAGCAAAACCCATAGACCCACAGACAGGTGCGAAGTAATACGCAACTTGTTTAAAGCTACTAAATTTCAGGGTGACTTGTTAACTAACAATAACTGACACCGTGGCGATAGAGCGTGCCTTCGTGGTAATTATTTTCAAGTTACAAACATACGTGGTGTTAGATGGTGATAAGTGCTATAGGAATGTAGGAGGAGTAGGCAGATTTCCTCCAACACAGTTAATTTAGGTTTAGCCGATGAATAGATCCTATTTAAACAACAAAGGAAATACAGTTTTTAGAATTGCCTTTATAAAAAAAATGAACTTTTATCTTTAGTATAGTTTTAGATTCACAGAAAAAATTGTCCAGGTAGCACAGAGCTCCCACACCCTCCCCCCCCCCCCCCCAGTTTTGCCTGTGTTAACACCTTGCAATAGTGTGGTTCTTCTGTGACGGTTAAGGAGCTGTCACTTATAAATGATTAAGCCCGTACTTTATTCAGACGTCCTTAGTTTTTACCTCCTGCCCTTTATTTGTTCTAGCATTTCATCCTGGACATTGTACTATAGTTAGTGTGTATGTCTGCTTACGATCCTCTTTGTTCTGACAGTTTCTCAGAATTGCATGTTTTAAAAACAGTTTTCATGTGTCATCCTTGCACAGGGGCCATGCTCATGTTCTCCGTGTCATTCCAGTTTCAGCGCATGTGCTACCTAGGCAAGCAGGGATTTTCCATTTTTTTTTAATTAATTTATTTTTTGAGGGGAAGGGAGGGAGGAAGAGAGGGAGAGGAATAATCAGTGTGTGGTTGCTCTCACACGCCCCCTAATGGGGACCTGGCCCACCACCCAGGCCTGTGCCCTGGCTGGGAATTGAACCACTTGACCCTTTGGTTTGCAGGATGGTGCTCAGTCCACTGAGCCACACCAGCCAGGGTGGATTTCCTGTGTTTTTGATGACTTGACAGTTTTGAGGAGTTACAATCAGGTGTTTTGTACAGTGTCACTCAGTTTAGATTTGCCTCATGTTTTTGCCATGATTGTATTGGGATCCTGTTATTGGAATACCACAGAAATGAAGTGCCGTTCTAACCACATCATTTCAAGGATGCATATGATTAACACCACTTGTTACCGCTGTTTTCAATCTAGATCACCCAAGTGTGTGACAGTTTTCTCCACAGTAAAGTTTCTATTTCCCACTGTCTTCCTGCTGTGGGTTTTCAGAGGAACTTCCTATGAGCAGCACAGGATGAAGGGGTGGGGAGACAGGGGAGAGTTTTCATGTGATTTATTTGGAATTCTTTTGAATGAGAAATTTGTCATTTCATCCCCATGTATTTATTCAGTTATGTTTATATCAGTACACACTCCTGATAATTATTTATATTCTGGTTATAATCCTGAATATGAAATTTGTTGGCAATTGGAAGTTCTTTTAGCTGGTTGTATGTCCCTTTGAAATACTTCCAGTGTGTGTGTGTGTGTGTGTGTGTGTGTACTTGAGCATTTCTTCTCTGCCACTACAAGGTGCTACAGGAGCATCTTGTGTATTTTCTAGGAGCAGATATTTTTCTAAGAAGTGGAATCCTGGTTCCTTCTGTTGCAAAATAGTATTAGAAATGAAGAGTTAAGTGCTGGGCATGCTCACTGCTGTTAAGGTGTAGCGGCTTCTACGTCCTCTCGGCGGCCAGAGCAGACTGCATTCACAGTGGCCTTTTCAGGAACTCAGTAGTGTCTGTATGTTGAAGGCTGTCATTATATTCTTACATGCATAATTGCTCATGATTTTCTACAAGGATAAAACCTCTGTAGGTTTGTTATTCTGAATCCCAGTAACTGGAAAGGTATTTTATACCTTTAAGAAACAATCCTTAAAGTTGTGTGTTCAGAAGAACTTCTTCCCCATGTATTATCTTTATTAGTAGTTGGTTACTGATTTATTGCCCAGTAGTAGAACTTAAGATACTGTTGGGGGAAACTAATGCTGGAATAATTTTCATCCATTCCCTTGTTTGAAAATCACATGGTAGGCTTGTCAACCTTAGGTGTCAAGTATGAGTAGGAGAATATTGAAGGAAGGGTTTGGAACTGCATTTCTCTTCATTTCCATAGCTTATCTATATCCTTGATAAGTTCTCTGTAGGGGAAATGAAGTTTTCCTGCATTTATTGACAGCCTAATGTGACAGAGGATTTGGCAAATGTGGCACTGAAGAAATAAAGGTTGGTCTTGTCTCAACACATTGCTCTTGGAAACATCTCACCTCCGGCATAGAAAAAAAATGGTGTGACCTTCCAAAGAAACCAGTGAAATACGAAGACAGAGCCTAGCACAGCACTTCCTGAAATGAATTAGAGATTGATGATGAAACTGAATAGAGAGATGATAATGCTGAAAAAATCCTTCATGTATGGTTTAAGGGGTTGAGGGAATGAAATACACCCGCTGGCTGGGAAGCACGCACAGCAAGCCATTCCCATCGATCATCCCATATCCTGGGATGCATGGCGCTGCCTGATTTCAGAATCTGGCATTGTTTTAATGAGGTCTCTGCTAGAATATCACAAGACAGTCCAGTACATCAGTTTCAGGACACTTAAGCTGCATTTGTATTAAAACAATTACGTATCTATCACTTTGTTAGAAGGAAAAGAGAGACTGGTTAAAGGAGAGTGTGATGGGCCATCCCCAGACCTGAATTGACACTATTTTTCAACTTTCTCCTCACACACGTGTTTCCTAATGTAGGCCAAAGACATCCATGTATGCACGACTTATTCACACTCAAAAATGGTGGATCCAGACAACTGATGAAATACTGAACTCCCTCCTCCTGTCACTTGACGCACAAACAGTACGAGTACTGATGGTTTCAAGTAGCAAAACTGACTCTCTGGAGGATCAGTCCGAATGCCAAGATGGACCTGTGACAGCCACACTGACTGTTCAATGCAGTTATACCCGTAAAAGTGGCCAGGTAAGGATGGTAATATGGGAGTCTGCTTATCCCTCACAGGGTCTTCTGTCGGGGGTTTGTGAGGTTTTCTTATCGAGGAGTTGACAAAAGTTATACTGGTATGAGCAAGCTAAAGTCTGCCTTAAAGATCACCACCAGATACATGGAATTAGTAAATAATTAGGCACATGTGAGGATGTTAGGGGAAAACAAATCTGATTTTTCCAATCCTGGGCTCCTAAGGCATCATTTTTAGGGACCAAATGTATTTTTTCATTTTCAGCCAAAGTGAGGACAACCTTATCCACAACCAAATCCTAAGATGTGGAAGATAAGGTGTTCTTTTTATAAGAAAAATGATTTTTTTTGATAAGAACTTGAACTATAGCAATCAGTGTATTTGCAACATTTAACTCCTGAAAAGGAAATTTTAAAAGGCTTTTCACTTTGCTTCATTTGGGCCTTCAACATGCAAGTGTGTATATCAGCCAGACATTTTAAAATTGTGGCGTGAGTCTCATCTAAGCCTTCTTTCCCTCCCTTTCTCCTTTTCTTCCTTTCTTCTGGCCTTCCCGCTCCACTCCTATGCAGAACAGTCTTGCTCTGGACCCAAACTTGAATATCACAGCCATCTAAATTTCTGCCTAAAAAGCAACCTTACAGTCAGTGGAATGTCTTCATATTTAAAGGCAATTTTATTGCTGTTGATTGTGGATTATCAAAGTATTACATACAGGAATAATTAGAAATATTATTAGAAATAATATTTTCTCCATAATAATTTAAATAAAAACTATTAGAAAATACTACTTTAAATAAATAATAATATTATTAGAATATTTGCTCCATAATAATTTCTAAGCCAAGAGAACATCAGTTACCAAACAGGAGAACTTCATCAGGCTGAAACACCACCATAAAAAATGTCTCTACTGCTTCCAAATCTATGTGATTAGATTGCAAGTTTAGAGGCAAAAAAGGAAAATGGGTAAGGAATGAACAGATGATAATTGAATGGAGAGAGCCACTGAAAGTACGCTTTCCAAAATTCTGTAGTAAAAAGCGGTGGCCCAATGATTGCATGGTTTCAAGGAATAGACTATTTAAAAGAAAAGTGAGAACAGAGGAGATTGAAGGTGAGAGAGACAGTGATGAAATAGAAAGCAGAAGTGAAAAAAAACTTGAGAAAGTTTTTCTACCTGGATATAGGAAGGGAAAAAGATAAAGGGTAAATACATTGAGAAGGTACAGACAGTGGAGTTACAAAGAAGTGTTGAGGTGGTGGGAGAAGCTGGCATCAAGTTTTCTATGTAGACGCTAGAGTGGGTGTGGAAAAGTTTAAAACTTTAGTACACAGGATAAAAACTCGTATAAGAAAAGGTCCATTGGATGTTCTCAGTGCCAATCCCCTTTACTGGTGGTCATGTACCCAGCCCTGACCTCTGTGCCTGAGGGCTGCTAAGTCCAGCGGCATCCTCTTGTAGAGTATGACCGCCCCTTCCAAGTCAGACGCTGGTGCACATTGGCACAGAGGTGCAAAGACGTGGACGGCAGTTCTCAACTCAGAGCAGGACCAGCTTTGTAGGTGCGATTCATGATCCAGGGCTTTGTGGTGGAGCAGATTAGACTCCAGAATTACTGAAACATGTCCTTCCTGGACTTCCTCCCCTACCTTATTCTGCAGCCTTACTATTTTCCTCCTGAGGGTATTAAATGGGATAAATCACTGAAATGAGAATTTCTATCTCAGGTTTAGCTTTAGGAGACAGGCATGTCTAAAAGTTTCATGGGACTGCAAAATGGTGCTGCTGGTACTGCTGGCGCCACTGCTTCTGCTGATGGTGCTCTTGGTACTCCTGCTGCTCCTGCTACTCCTTCCCTTCTGCTGCTGCTGCTGCTTCTGCTTCTGCTTCTGCTGCTGCTGCTAGTGGTGCTGAGGCTGATGCTTCTGCTGCAGGTGCTGCTGCTGCTGCTGGTGCTGCTAGAGCTGTGGCTTGAGGTGTTGAGGAAGCCTGAAGAGCCATTCTGGAGGTCCTCGCTGAGGGTGGTCAGGGAGCCCCAAAAGCCATTCTGGAGGGACGAGCTGGGGGTGGTGAGGGAGCTAGAAAAGCCATTCTGGAGTGATTGATTACCTGGGAGTGGTAAGGGAGCCCCAAGAGTGATTCTGGAGTGATTACCTGAGGGTGGTGAGAAGCCACAAGACCCATTCTGGAGTGCTGAGCTGGTGGTGGCGAGGGAGTCTGAAGAGCCATTCTGGAGGGCTCACCTGGGGGTGGTGAGAGAGCCCGAAGGGCACTGTGGAGTGCACACCTCAGGGTGGTGAGGGACACTGAAGAGCTATGCTGGAATACTCACCAGGGGGTGGTGAGGGAGCCCAAGGAGCCATTCTGGAGGGCTCACCTGGGGTTGTTTAAGGAGCCAGAATAGCCATTCTGGAGGACTCACCTGGGTGTGGTGAGGGAGCTGGAAGAGCCATTCTGGAGTGCCAAGCTGGTAGTGGTGAGGGAGTGTGAAGAACCAATCTGGAGGGCTCACCTGGGGTTGTTGAAGGACCCAGAAGAGCCATTCTGGAGGGCTCAGCCTGGGGTGGTTGATGAAACCAGAAGAGCCATTCTGGAGGACTCACCGGGGGTGGTGAGGGAGCTGGAAAAGCCATTCTGGAGTGCTAAGCTAGGGGTGGTGGGGGACCCCAAAGAGCCATTCTGAAGTGCTTCTTTGGGGGTGATGAATGTGCCCAAGGAGCCCTTGTGGAGTGATTACCGGGGGT